AAAGCTCGGTCATAAAGGAACTCTACCAGAAGCTACGGAATGCACTGTTGTACACAAAACTAAACCCAGCAACGCTAATTTTTCGGTGTGAATTTCCCCCCAGTCCTCTCCACCTTGGAGGAGCGGTTTGTGCGTAGTACAACATTCCAGCAGACTTAACCATACATCACTCAGACATGACCAGTGCTCCCAAAGCAGGTTTGGTCTGGGACCTCCGTTCTTTTCCAGGATCGTAATAGGCTTAATTTAATTGGCATCAATCATGCATTAAAGCCTGCAAGCGCAGCCAGACGGTGGCGTGGATGAACTGAAGTGCAGTCAGCGGCTGATCAAAAGCAGAGGAGAATTTACATCGTCGTTCCATCACATGGTAACTCAATTGACTCGGACACGAATGAATATCAGTGAGAGGCACATATGATCAAGTAAGAAGATTAATGCTTTTTTGTGTAACTAATTTATGAGCCATTCTGTGTGCCTATGTTAGTGAGGAAGCACTGCAATGTAAACTGGCACTCGAACATGTTTATAGAATTCAAGAAAGTAATAGCCATTTATTTAGACCAAAAAGGAATTTTATTGTCGAAACACAGCGATGTTGCGCTAGAGAATGCAAATGAGAAGGGAAACGCATACACCATGAGAAAGAGAAAACTATCATAGAAAAAGAGAGGCGAAACAACAAGTGGACGCTTGTGAATGATGCTGACAAAACAACAGCGATGTTGGTAATAAATTTGTTATGGATTCTTAAGCATCAACATCCTCAACCATGGCTCCATCTTCATCTTCTTCCTCCTCATCTCCAATTCCAGCCTCCTGGTACTGTTGGTACTCACTCACAAGATCGTTCATATTCGACTCTGCTTCAGTGAATTCCATCTCGTCCATTCCTTCGCCAGTGTACCAGTGAAGGAAGGCCTTTCTTCTGAACATGACAGTGAATTGTTCACTCACACGCTTGAAGATTTCCTGTATAGCTGTAGTGTTGCCTACGAAGGTCACCGACATCTTGAGTCCGCGTGGTGGAATGTCACAAACAGCAGTCTTAACATTATTTGGGATCCATTCAACAAAGTAAGAGGAGTTCTTATTCTGGGCATTTAGCATTTGATCGTCCACTTCCTTCATAGACATACGGCCACGGAACATAGCGGCAACGGTGAGGTAGCGACCATGACGGGGATCACACGCCGCCATCATGTTTTTCGCATCAAACATTTGTTGGGTCAGTTCGGCTACCGTGAGGACACGGTACTGTTGACTTCCACGACTAGTCAGTGGCGCAAATCCAGGCATGAAAAAGTGCAGACGTGGGAAAGGAACCATATTAACAGCGAGCTTTCGTAGATCAGCATTCAGTTGACCAGGAAAACGCAAACATGTGGTGACACCTGACATGGTCGCAGACACTAAATGATTCAAATCCCCGTAGGTAGGGTTCGTCAGCTTCAGCGTTCGGAAGCAGATGTCGTAGAGAGCCTCGTTGTCAATGCAATAGGTTTCATCTGTATTTTCCACCAACTGATGGATCGACAGTGTCGCATTGTAGGGCTCCACCACCGTATCTGAGACCTACAAGAAAGTGGGCAACTCACTTTGACCACCACTTAAAGACCTGATTAAAGAAACTGTCGTGTAACAATGCTGTGAACAAAGAGCTCATAAACAAACAATAAGTTGATTACACGAGAATTCGAATATAAATAGATTCCAGAGTTGAAAGCAATAGTTTTATGGCATTTAGTTTTTCGCTGGGGAGCTGCTGGACAGATTTTACCGACATAACGCTTGCCATTAAAAAAAGGTGCGATGTGCCTCAAAGGGAGAGAGGATTATAACTCTACAGAAGTCTATGTCCAAGTTGCTCGAAATAGGAGGGATGTCGCGCTTTTGGTAAGTTAAAAACAAAATTATTACCTAGAATTGTGCAATCCCAACAAATTCTGTGAAAACACAGGTAGATACTTATCTTGGGCACTTGAATCATGCAAGTTCTCTATTGGTATGAAACACGCTTAATTTGGTCCTCTAAATTATGCTGCTGTCACTCCATCCTCTTTAAAGATCACAATCCTGTGAGATTGCTTTAGTCCTTTTTGCGTGCTGATGTGGCGAACCCCACACTTGTAAAAGAGGCCCAAGCTTTTCAACTCCTGCATATCCAAACCCAAACAAGTTTAAGTGTACAATTCATGTTGGAGAAGACTGTTCGGAATGCTAAAGTCATAGATAGTATATCCTTTTAAATTTACCGCTTTACGAATGAACTTCCAGAGGGAAATATAAGTTATCACTAGAACTGACCTTTGGAGAAGGCATAACGGAGAAGGTGTTCATAATGCGATCTGGAAATTCCTCCCTCATCTTTGAGATAAGGAGAGTGCCCATTCCGGATCCTGTGCCACCGCCTAAACTATGGCACATCTGGAAGCCTTGTAGACAGTCACAGGACTCGCACTCTTTGCGAATAACATCGAGAACCGACTCGACCAGTTCTGCACCCTCAGTGTAGTGGCCCTTGGCCCAGTTGTTTCCAGCACCACTCTGACCGAAAACGAAGTTGTCGGGTCGAAAGAGCTGTCCGAAGGGTCCCGCACGCACGCTATCCATGGTACCGGGTTCAAGATCCACCAAAACACATCTTGGTACGTACTTTCCGCCGCTTGCCTCACTGTAGTAGACGTTAATGCGCTCTAGTTGCAGGTCGGAGTCTCCGTGGTAAGAGCCTGTTGGGTCTACTCCGTGCTCATCAGAGATTACCTCCCAGAACTACGAATGGAAAAGTTAAAGCTAACATTTAATCTCACTCGCCCATGCCTCAATCTAAACTACAGTGACAGAGGAGGGTAGATCGACAGGAGTTCAAGTGATTATCTTTTGTAAGACTTAATCACACAAGCACCTGGAGGTTATCTATAGCCGCATCGTCAATTAGCAGCGTTGTACACAATCGAGCATAACAGCT